GGGGAAAAAAAAAAAAAAAAAAAAAAAAGTCATGGGGATGTAAAGTACAGCTTAGGAAATATAGTCAATAATATCATAACAACTATGTATAGGGCCAGGTGGGTCCTTGAAATATTGGGGGACCACACTGTAAAGTACATGATTTTTTAACCACTATGCCGGATATCTGAAACTAATACAGAATAATATTGAATGTAAACTGTAATTGAAAAAAAATGTCATAAGTGAATATTGACTTGGAAATATATTCACGATATATTGTTAAATGAGCAAATACATTTAAGTTAGTGCCTGCAAACTTTTTGATCTCTGGACTCCTTTATGCTCTTAAATTATTGAGGACATTTTTGAGGGTTATATAGATTGATATTTACCATATTAGAAATTAAAATTTAGGACATTTTAAAATATGTATTTGTTAATTTCTTAATAAAATAATAAACCCATCACAGGTTAATATAAATAACATTTTTATGAAAAATAGCCACTAACAAAAAAAAATGTTAGTGAGAATATTAGCATTGTTTCATATTTTTCAAATTTCTGTGATGTCTGGCTTAACGAAGACAGCTGGATTCTCATATCTGCTTCTTTCTTGTTTGTTTGCTATATGTGGTTTTGGTTGAATTACATGAAGGGAACCTAGTCTTGTACAGATATGTAGTTGGAAAAGGGAGGAGTATTTTAATAGCCTTTTAACATAATTGTAGATTTGTAGATATATCAAGTAGTCTTTGGAAAACTCCACTGTACAATTGTGAGAGAATGACAGTGAAGAGGCAGATAATGTCTTAGCATTATTATGAAGATAGTTTTGACCTTGCAGGTCCCCTGAAAGGGTCACGAAGACCCCAGGGACCACACTTGGAGAGCGGCTGGTTTGAGTTACTGTCGCGGTTAAGCAAGCTGCTTCCTTGCGTTGCAGGACCTGATGGATGACTTGAAGTCGGAATTGAGTGGCAAATTTGAGCGGGTCATCCTGGGGATGATGACGCCCACTGTGCTGTATGACGTGGAGGAGCTGCGAAGGGCCATGAAGGTTTGTGCTTTTTGCTGAGGAGCTTTCTTTAGAAACCATGACAAGGGCCCCCTGAGAGTGGAGAGCATGAGGGATGGGAGAAAGATTTTCCTTCATTGCTGCCAACTTGAAAACATGACATTATATTGTAGCAATTGTCATTTAAATGTTGTTTTCCAAAAAGGTCGGGAATCCTTCTCTCTTTCTGTGGCTCCGCAGGGAGCGATTATGGTGCTTTTGGTGCAGCTCCAGAAACTTTCTTGCCATGTTATCTACTTTTGAGATGTGAAACTTTACAACTGACACCTTGGGGGCCTCTGGCCCTGCTGCTGGCTCAGAGCTGACAGGAAGGGGTTCTCAGCCTCCCTGGATACAGATCCGCTGTGCCTTAGCCGAGGGTTCTGTTGATTTTTAATGACCAAGTTTAAAATTCAAATCCAATTACTCTCCTCAACCATGTCAATAAATATTCAGTCTTGTGGATGGTTCTGGGCTAGACTCTTGAAAAAAACAAAGACGTAATAGCCTTTGCGGGAAGATTCTGCCCTTCAACGAAAAGTACAGGGGAGATAAGGGAAGATTAAATCCCCAGAGAGCAGAAACTGTGCCTAACCTGTCACAATAACCAACACATAGAAACAGCCCATAAATGTGTGTTATTTCTAAAAATGATTCCAATAAATACATTGGAACTTGGGCAGGACAATTAAAAATGAACAAATCTGCCCTAGCTGGTTTGGTTCAGTGATTAGTGCATCAGCCCATGGACTGAAGGGTCCCGGGTTGGATTCCAACCAAGGGCACACGTGCCTCAGTTGCAGGCGAGACCCTCGGCCCGGTCGGGGTTCGTGCAGGAGGCAACCAATCAATGTGTCCCTCTCACATCGATGTTTCTCTCTCTCTTTCACTCTTTCTGAAAAGCAATGAAAAAAATATCCTTGGGTAAGGATTAAAAACAAAAAGGGAATAAAATAAAAAAAGTAAAAAAAAAAAAAAAAAAGAGCAAATCATGTAGCTAGAACCCCGTGGGTTGTCCTTATTCTCTGCAGAGGCCTGGTTCTGTTCTTCTCTATCTGGGACTCATAAAGCCCTCTCCTCTGGGTGTCTGGTTTAGGGAGCTGGCACAGATGAGGGCTGCCTGATTGAGATCCTGGCCTCCCGGACGCCTGAGGAGATCCGGCGCATAAACCAGACCTACCAGCTGCGTATGTAGCATCCTCCATGCCTTGGCTGATGTTTCACTGTGATCTGAGAACTAGACTAGCAACAGGGGGTCACCCACTGATCAGACTTTCTTCATAGAAACATTCACTATGAGGGATCCTCAGTTCTAAGCTCTGCTTTAAGGCATATCCCTGTTCAGGCAAATGATTGTCTGTTGGCTTCTCAAGACATCTCCGGTGAACATGCTATTCTACTTAGGCTACCGAGTGCCCAAGGTACCTAGTACCACTTATTACACTGAAAGCTGGAAAGTTGCTCCCTGTTATCAGAGAATTGAAGGTATTTGTTCAAAAGTGGTGGTGCTATTCCTTAGCATTCCAATAGCCTGGCCCAACTCCTTACCTTCATTCAGGCTGGACTGTGTGTCCTCCAGCCATCACAGAATGATAGCCATTACTCCCCTCTTAAAAATCTCCAGAGGCTGATACATATGGAAAGCCTTTAAAAGATGCATGCCTTTTTGCCCTAAGAGTATAATTAAAAATGCACAGAGGTTTAGATCTCACAGTGTTTATTGGGTGTTTGTTATATTAGCTAAAAATGTCCAACAGTTTAGCAGATTTGCTAAATAAAGCATGGTATACCCACAGAGCAGACGAGTACATGGTCATTAAACATATATTGAAGGATATTATTAAATTACACTAAGTAGTATGGTATACAGACGGATGAAAACAACAAATCATTAAATAGCATGTCATGATCCCATTTTTTTAAAGAAAGAAAAGTAATATGGGTATTTGGGAGAAAAAATAAGGACCGATATTCACCCTAATGTTATCAGTAATTATTATTTCTGGGTGATTAGATTGTGCTGAGGTTTTTATTTCCCCCACCCCTTCATTTTACTTATTTATTTTTTCCTAAGTTTTCTGTAGTAAACATGTACTGCTTTAGTAGAAAGAAAACAAAAATAATAGTGTTTTGGTAAGTGTTTAGAGAAAGCTATTCTAAACCTTGGGAGTTTGGTTCTAGCACTGGATTCCCATATCTGCCGAATGCAGATCTTCTCCCCCTGAGAAGGGCGTCTACAGGGCTGTGAAGGGTTGGGCTTCTCTTGAGGAAGCTGTCAAGCAAGTGACATGGCAAAAAAGGCACATGCTAGAATTTGGGCTTGACAGCCCCCAGTTTGTTCCCAAACATGGTTCTAAAACTCCACTATATTTGCTTTACAATGGTTACTATTCTCTCTGTCACTGAAAACTATGTTTAAAACAGACCCCTGACCAGTAGCATCAGTAAGGATTACAGCCCCAGCCTTCTCCACCTCCCATTTTAAGGAACAAGAACATCTTGTTTCTACTAAGCTAAACTTACCTTGGCCATTTTACCCAAGTTGTTTTTAAAAAACTGTGCGTGAGGTGAAAAACCTCACAAGGAGCTGCTTCAGTAAACAGGCTGGTCCTGGAGGGGACTGAAGGCTCAGAGTGTGACACAGTGTTGAGCAGGACTGTTTATCCTGATGTGGCTAATTTTACTTTCTTGCTAGAGTACGGGAGGAGCCTTGAAGATGACATTCGCTCTGATACATCCTTCATGTTCCAGCGGGTCCTGGTGTCTCTGTCCGCTGTGAGTGGCACCCTCAGCTGCCTGCTTCTGATGGGGTTGGGTTGATTGACATGCTCACTCTCAGTTCCCTTTTCCAGGGTTTTTCATGCTTTTAACATCCCAAATGTAAACATTCCTCAGGTGTTTTCCTTGGGCCTCTCTGATGTTTTATCTTCTCTCCTTTAGAAACTCTAGCTAGTCACATACACCCATTTGTTCTAATTTATATATACAAGTACCTAATATCTGCCCAGTCTCATTACTTAGTGCATTGAGAGTTATGAGGATGATTAGAAGGCTGTTCTTGGGCTTTAGGAGTTTATATTGTCAGAAGGGAATATATCAGGTGCACAGTTGCTATAAAGGCTTGAAACGTCAGTACCTAAGAAGAGATACAGAGTAAAAGGAAGGTTCAAGGATAATTTTGGTTGCAGAAACAAAGAAAAGGCTTCATGGCAGAGGTGCAGGTTCAGAGAGGACTTAGAGGGTTGCTAGGACTTCAAGAAGCAGAGGTGTGGTTGGGTGCATTCCAGGCAGAACTAAGGCAAGAAGAAGGCAAGGAGGCAGGAAACGAGGGGTGTGATCTGGGAACAATGAACTAAGCAGTCAGGCTTGTAATTCTAGCAGCAAGATGGAAGGATGAACTGGGATTCTATATTAGGAGGAGTTTACACTTTCTTTGGAGAGCAGTAGGGAGCCACTGAAGGTTTGGGAGCAGTAGAATGATGTGATTAGAACAGCATTTTTACCAGAGTAATAGTCATGTGTAAGATTAATTGTAATGGCAAGGAATTGGAGACTGGAAGACCACGTAGAAAATTGCCTCAATATTCTATATGAGAAATAAAGCAGGACAGGGCTAGTGTGGGAGTAGGGGCCCCAGAAAAGAGATGGATACACGAGATATTTCACATGACTTTCCAACTATATCTTTATCCCCGACCTCCTTCCTGAGCATGAGACTCATTTCTTGCTGTTTCTTAGATGTTGCCTTATGGATAGTCTGCCATCACCTCAAATTAGTCCTAAACTAAACCTGAACTCGTTTTCCCTCCAAACTGGCTCTTCTTCCTGACTTTGTCTTTTTCTGTTAATATTGTTCCTGTTCAAAGCAAAACCCTGGAAATCATCTCCATCTTCCACCTTGCTCTGCCTCTGATATTTACTTAATATCTTCTTACCCATTTTTTCTTTTCCTCCTGGGTTTACCATTCTACTGCGCCATGCCTAGACCATAGAATATTGAGACAGCATAGCAATAAAAATAGTCTAACAAACCAGAGGAAAGTAGCTGGCTTGCCACTCTTTAGCATTCCTCCAGGGCGCCAACCCTGCCCTCCGGGAGAGTTGATGTTGGTGAGGGGTGGGGTGTTTTCATGTGCTCCTGAAGCCCCATTGCTGCCCAGACACTCTTGATTCTCTGTTCCCAACTCGTTTGGCAGAATTAATTAACGTAGACTTGCCGGTTCCAAATGCGTGAATGAGCTGGGAAGAGACAGGGCTGGGGAGAGGTGGGGAAGGGGGGAGGAGTAGTGGAGTCAGCGCTCAACAGGCGCATTCGCTCCCTTTCCCTTTCCTTTTCCCTTTCTAATGTTGCAGAGACAGTGCGACAGGGGCTCTCCCTCTGGTAATGTCCTCTGGGTTCCGATCAGAGCCATGGGAAAATGCAGGCTCACTCAGAGGACTTCTGTCCTTTCTCCCGAGGCTGGAAGTGTGACCCCTTGTGGCATTCTGCCTTCTTATCATCTCGTGGAGTTCCCAGATACTCTGTCTTGTCGAAATCTCCCTGGCTCCTCTCTCACTCTCTCGGTTTGTTTTTCCCATCCTCAGGGTGGCAGGGATGAAAGCAATTACCTGGACGATGGGCTCATGAGACAGGATGCCCAGGTGAGTAGAACTGCGGCTGCTTTCTTCCCCTTTGCCAGTAAGAGAGTTCTTCATTGGTGGACCCCCTCTTATATTTCAGTGTATATTGACCTGACTGGGATATGTTATGGAAAAAAAAAAATCTTCACAGATGATCTTTAATAGCAGAAGTTTCTTTCAGAAATACCTGGAATTTGGGAGTGGCACGAGGCATCATTATATGAGCACCCCTAGATTCTAGACTTCTTGACATTGGGACCATGGTGTGGCCATCATGGAGTGAGTCTTCTGAATCACTTGGAGGTGAAGGGGCCTGCCTTTGTTTTGTTTACCTTGCATTTTCACTTCCCCAAAGAGAGCTGTGATGGGACCTGTGTGAAACAGCTTGCACAGTGTGTACCCTGTTGGGCAAAATTAATACCAACCCAAAGAGGCAGTTCCTTCCTTGGTACCCAGCCCACTAGCAGCTGCCCTGGCACCAACCCCTGGTCTGTTTACTGTGGCCAGATAACACTAATAATAATAGCTAATAAAAAGTGGGTCTTTTACCAGGTACCAAATACTGTTCTAGCTCTTGATATGACATATGTCATTGAATCCCTGTAGTAACCATATGAAGTAAGTATTGTTATCCCCATTTCGTGGGCAAGGAAATTGAGGCTCAGAGAAGTCAAGTTCTTTGCTCTAGTTCATACAGATAATAAATGGCAGAACTAGGATTTGAACTTAGGCAGTTTGGATCTAGACTCTGTACTCTTAACCCATATACAACCATAGAGAAGGACTGGTTCCATTCAGTGTGTGAGGTATAAGCCACTATGGATTCTGTAGGCAAGAACCTGTTGCTTTCACCAGAAGGGAGAAGGGCATGTCTGTCATAAGAGTTCTGAGGACTCAGGGAAGCCCATGCCACATAGGAGGCATAGGAAATTGCCTTCAATCCAGAAGCTTTGAGGAAGGACAAGGTATTGGAAATAAAGGAACTCGAATGCTTATATGAATGTCAACTACCTCAACAAGAACATTTTTGGACATGCTGGAAAGAACCTCCATAGCTCAGGTGAATCCCAAACTAAGTGGAAGAGTTAGCAATTTATTCCTGAAACATTATATTCATTCTCAATTTTTTTGTGGGTTTCCCAGGCATTGTGTTACTTGTTTTATTTATTTTTTTAAATATATTTTATTGGGTTTTTTTGGTTTTTTTTAGAGGGAAAGGAAGGAAGGAGAGAGAGAAACATCAGTGAGGGACAGACAGTAATCCATTGCCTCCTGCACGCCCCCTACTGGGGATGGAGCCCTCAACTCAGGCATGTGCCCTGACCAGGAATCAAACTGATGACCTCTCAGTGCATGGGATGGTGCTCAACCAACTGAGCCACACCAGCCAGGCCTATTACTTCTGTTTTAAAGATTAGGAAACTGATGCAGAGATTTCATTAACTAGTCCAAGATCACAAAGTTGGTAGAATTGGGTTCTTTGAATCCAGGTCTGTCGATGTTTTTAAAACCATGCAATTCAACAAACAAATATTTTTGGGCTCTTCAAGGAGCACAGTTCTCCTTGGAGGTGACCAGGTGGAAAAGTGCTGTTAAACAAGTTTGAGCTGGGGAAGTTGGACAGAGGGAGTAGAACTGAGAATAGGGTTTTTCTGGGTCTTCCACATCTTACCAAGAGGCAAGGAGTTTAAGAACAACTCCAGCCAAGGTTTCAGCTCTTCTAGGATAAGACAATAGAAAAACTTGTCAATCTTTGCTCTTTAACTTCAGCAGCAGCAAGGGGATGGTTGGCAGACACTGGTTATTATAGCTGGTTTTTGATGTAGGAAAGTAAATGAGTTTGAGATGAAAAGAATGACCAGGGCAGGTGGAATTTGGTAGTAATTACTTATAAAAGGTAGAAAATTTACAATGTAGCGAGGCTATTATAGAGCCAGTCCAATTTTATCCGTTCTTGGGATGAAACACACGGACAAAATGAAAATAATAGGTAGTGTTCAGAATTCCTACTTTAAAAAGAAATACATGATACGGTAAAACTAGATTAAAAATGCCCTTCAGGGCTTTTGTTAGAAGATGGCACAGATTTGATTTTCTTCTTCTGGGCCAAGGGGTGGAGGGGCACAACAGGAAACATAAAAATAGGGAAAACTCTTCTTCAACACTGGAAACTATGGAAGAGGGCCATTAAAATGCCAGATGGGCAGCAAACCTGGGCCAAGGATGGAAGAGGGCCATCCTGCCCCAGAAAAGAGGCTAAGCTCCCTCCAGCTGGGACCAGGCACAGTGGCTTCATGCAAACAGGGAGAAACTCCTCAGAGGAGACTTGTTCTGTGTCTCAGCGGCCCTTAGTGGACTAGCTATAAGTGCTCCTGCTTGAAATTCATCCAAATGAAAAGTGAGGAGCTCCACGAAGAGTCCACTCACCTTGTTCTGGGATTGGGGGGGGGG